AGGTATCTTAAGTCCTGGTTGTGGGAGCTTGGGGGAACCTCTGGCTATATAGACTACGTAAGGGTTATTTAGACATTAGGTATCTCCAGTCCTGGTTGGGGAAGCTTGGGGGAGCTCCTGGTTGTACATGTAATGTAGGGGTCATTTAGATTACCAGATCCCCAATCCTGGTTGTAGGAGCTTGATAAGGCATGGTCCAACAAATATCAAAGATCAGCAAGGTGATCACCTCTAATTCCCAGTCTTCTGTAAAAACAGTTTGTATGCCCTTCCCTTTAAAAGGACAATCCTGGGTGCTTAACATTCCTGGTTCCTAGGAGATCCGTGGGCGTGAGGACCTTCATGCTCTCAACATCATTGCATATTCTATCCTGGCAGAGTACTGTTGCTCAGGAGTCCTGCCTGGGCTCTCTCATCTCACCTTAACCAATCTCCGACCCTGAGTGACCTCAACTAGTCCAGTTCTGTTGACACCTGCATAACAGAAGAATCTTTGTCTTTACTCTAGCCTCTCTCTGTGAGCCCATATTTAAATTTTCAGCTGCGTATCACACATCTCTACCCAGGAAGTCATCGAGGCCTATCCAAAACTAGTTTTGTGTTCTTCTCCTCAGGTCTCCATTGCATTCCTTGCTCTGAATCTTCAGTCCTGTTATCCAAACACAGCCTCGTTCTCAGTTTTTTCCTGACCTCCTTACATCTCAGAGACTTGGATGTGGATTTATCCCGATTATTTATTTGTCCTTACCTCAATCATCACTATCTGTACAGGCTGTCATTCATCTCCTGCTCCACACCAGTAACACAGAAACTGATTTCACTGTCTAGTCTCTCGCCATTCTGATTTATCTTTTGTCAGGTTTATCTTGGTTAAAATATGGATCTGAGCTCATATATCTCTATGAAAGCCTCGAATGGCTCACTAATAACTTCATTTTAAAGCCCAAGATCTTTAAGGTCATATAAAAGACTCTAAATAAAACATCATAATGATGTGTTTCAGCTGCCTCTCCTATCACTGCCTCAAGATTTCTTCAGCAAATCACAGTCATTACCTGAAAATTCCATGTACTTTTACGTAGACATACGTGTGCACATGCTATTTCCTCTGCCTGAAGACTTAATACTCTCCACTCTGCTTAGAAAACTCTTATTTCCATGGTTTGTAAAGGCCCTTTTCTGAAAAGCTGATGTCCCTGGGTGAAAAGTCACGGTTCTTCCTGTGCCCCATAACACTTGCCATACACTCAGTATCACAGCCACCTAAAGCTCTAGCCAGGGGGTGTAAAGTCTCTGCCAGTCACTGCAGGCAGACACACACTCATACACACCACACACACACACACACACACACACACACACACACACACAAATAAATGAATAGAACAGAACACAAATGTGTCAGGTGTCTTAGGTTTTATTGCTGTGAAGAGACCATGACCATGGCAACTCTTATAAAGAAAACATTTAATTAGGGTGGCTCACTTACAGATTCAGAGGTTCAGTCCATTATCATCATGGTGGGGAACCCAGTGACCTGCAGGCAGAGGTGGTGCTGGAGCAGAGAGTGCTACATCTTGCAGGCAACAGGAAGTCGACTGAAAGTCACTGAGGGAAGCCTGAGCAAAACAGACATCAAAGCCCGACCCCACAGTGACACATTTCCTCCAGCAAGGCCACAGCTCCTAAGAGTGCCACTCCCTTGTGGACCATTTCTTTCATTGGTCCACGTTTTCTACTTTTAATTCAGAAAGCGGAAGTGCCAGTAATACCATTGGTCCCTCCAGGAGGCAAAGATTGAGCTGAGAGGAGGTTTTTTTCTTATTTTTTTATTTTATTTTATTTTTCCCAATCTTTAGATAGGGTTGGGAGACAACCAGTATCATTATAGGGGATTAGGTGTCATTTCAAACTTAGAGCACAAGTAAGTGGCTTGGTAACATTAATATGTTTTTGATGTGGGATTTCCCTTTGTATACTGTGATTACCATTGATAAACAAACTGCTTTCAACCTATAGCAGGGCAGAAATTGGGCGGGGGGGGGGGGCGGGGGACACGACACGGGACACTAAATTGAATGCCGGGAGAAAGGAGGCGGAGTCAGAGAGAAGCCATGGAGCCACTGCCAGAGACAGATGACACGTGGCAATACACAGATTACTAGAAATGGGTTAATTAATATGTAAGAGTTTGCCAATAAGAAGACAGAGCTAATGGGTCAAGCAGTGATTTAATGAATATGGTTTCTGTGTGATTATTTCAGTTCTGGATGGCCAGGACAAACAAGTGGCCTCCTTACTATACCATTTCCATATTGACCATCTCCCATTTATCACAATTTCAAAAACGTTGTTAACAAATCTACATCTCATAACAAGCTGCCATCAGGAAAACTGGAAAACTAGAAGCCTACAGATGTCAGAATGGACATGGAGCTCTCACCCACAGATGTACCCTCAACGACAGAATCTGTGGTGAGCCTGAGGTCCTGAGTGACAATCACAAACCCCATGATTACTAGGAAACTCTCCAGTTGAGTCTGCTGCTCATGCCATCTCGGCTCAGACGCTTTTATCAGATCCATCTCCAATAACAAAACTAAACATAAAATTCGATGTACTGCTTCAGAGCAAGTGAGGAAGGGACTCTCGGCACTCAGGCACCTTTCCTCTGGATGTTAACAGCTGAGCCATCTCTCTGGCCCTGCAGCATTCATTTCGTTGTTGCTGTTTGTTTTATTTGGTTTGGGTTTTTTTTGTAGTAGTAGTAGTAGTAGTTGTTGCTGTTTTGAGACAGGGTTTCTCTATGTAGTCCTGGATCTTGTTATGTAGACCAGACTGGATTCAAACTCACAGAGATCCTCCTGCCTCTGCCTCCAAGGGCAGGGATGAAAGGTGTGCACCACCATGTCTGGCCACGTCATTCATTTTTATAAACACAGTTATTGAGCTCTTACAGACAAGGTGCAGTAGGTACTATTAATGAGAAGTGAAGACATTGATGTTTTATTTACCATAATCTAACTTGCTGTCTTCATCATATGATCTTCCATAGGAACTTTTCTGTCTTACCACTGACTCACATTTATTAATCCATTTTATTTAAGAAAATATGCAGTTTGTGGAAAAATAAGAAGACATAATCAACTAACCCTAAGCCATTCATAAACCACAGGAAAGGATAAAACCCCTTATAGGGCTTAGGTTTACTTCTAAGACAGTAACTGTATAAAAAAATGTTGATGTCTGTTAGGGGAACAATGGACACTACAGTAACTACAGAATGATCATCAATGCATTGTAAAAATCTGAAGTTTATTGGCAAAATAAAAACCTGTGATGAAGCCATTCCTATATAGTTAGGAAGAAAACATTTAAGTAATAGAGTAACACCACCTAAGTCATATCACAGCACTTAGTGTGAGAGTAAGACCTGGCAAGAAACCAGAACAAGATAGAGAAAGTAAGAGCCCCCTCCTAAGAGTCCAAGCAAAGGTTGTAGCCCTGAAATACGATTAGGAGCTGGAAAGGAGACATCTGAATCACACTGAAGAGGAGGGGACTGTGGCTCCCAATACATCACTTGGGCAAGGCCCCCAATTCTACCCAAAATCGACAGGGATAGCTATGAACTGGCTGGATTTGGAAGCTGAAGAATGAAACAATTCATTAAAGCTTCTCGTTATGGTACCTAGATGGAATAGAGACACTTTTTCCTTCCTTCCTTTCTTTCTTTGTGTGTGTGGGGTCATATATGTAAGACCATGAGACAGTACTGGGTGGAGTGTGGAGGGCAAGTTGGCCTCAAGTGGGGACCATCAGCTCAAGTGGCAGAAGCTAAAAACCATTCATGACTGTACTAGGGAAACCGCAGACTCCTTGCATTGAACTCAAGAGGCCATGGGAAACCATCAGAAAGCTATTACTAGGGAAATGACATGATTGATGGGGATCATGAAGAATGGTTTAAGCTTCAGTGAAGCAAAAAAGTATTTTGGAAATGGTACAGCTCGATTTCTTGACAAATGCCATAATAGCTATTATAATGGTAGCAAGAAGTATTTCAAATAGAAACAGATAAGTCATCCACTTAAGAAAATTTTATGTCAGTATAGGTTGCAGCGAAAGGTTACAGAATGGAAACTTAAACTGACAAGTTAAAAGAGATTTTACATGCTCTGCTGAAGCACTGGCAAGCTTTTTGTCATAGTTTATTTTGGAGGGAAAATGTCTTAAAGGAGACTGCCTGAATGCCAGAGTATTTGGGAGCATTAAATAAATAAAAACACTTCCTAGTGGGTACTATCTCAGCTCATGAGTAAGCAATTTAGAAGGCTGGCTCTTGTAGTCTTACTTTTACCAAAAGAATTTGAGTAAAGAAGCCTCTATTCACCATAACAGCAATATCTATACTATAGTTCTCTCCCTTATCAGATTATTACCTTGCCCTAGCAGAGTACTACAGATGTGGTACTTAAACAATATGGAAGCCATAGGAGAGTAAGGTATCATGTAGCCCAGGCTGACCCTGAACACACTGGAGTCAAAGATGACCTCCAACTTCTGCTTCCTTTGTCTCCACCTCCCAAATGCTGGGATTACAGTTGTGCACCACCACGCCTGGTTTCTGTGGTGCTGGGGATTAACCCCAAAGCTTTGGGCATTAGACAACACTGTCAGCTGAGCTGCACAGCATCACCTCTGGGTTTGGTTTCTTCTAAGGCAGTGGTTCTCAACCTTCCTAAAGCTGTGACAATTCTCACGTTCTAGTCACCTCAACCATAAAATTATCTTCACAGTTACTTCAGAACTGTATTTTTGCAATGGTTATGACTATAAGTAAGTATCTCACATTCAGGGTATCTGATGCACAACCCGAGAAAGGGTCGTTGAACCCCCAAATAGGGCATGATCCACAGGCTGATTCATTGCTGTTCTGAGGCCTCTCATTGGTCAGACAGCACCTTCCAGCTGTCTTCATGTGGTCTTTCTGGCTTCTTTACACACACTGAGATACTCATACACCGGGCCTGGTGACACAAACATGTAATTCTAGCTAGCTGGGAGGCTCAGGTGGGAGGAAGGCAAATTCAAAGCCAGCCCAGGCCAGAGAGTTCAGCACCAACATAAGCAACTTGGTAAGACCCTGTCTCAAAAAAAAAAAATTAACCCAAATAAAAACATATATAGACTCACCTGGAAATTGGAAACAGACAAGATCACCTGATAAAATTGGGAGCAGGGGTGGGTGGGGGGGAGAAGGAAGGGTACAAGGAGAAGAGGAGGGGAGAAGGGGAGGGTTGAGGAGAACTTGAGGGAATGGGATAGTCGATGTGGAGGAAGGACAGAGATGAGAGCAAAGAAAGAGATATCTTGACTGAGCCATTATAGGGTTAAAAAAAACCAGGCTCTAGAAAAATTCCCAGGAATAAACAAGGATGACCTCACCTAAGATCCTAAGCAATAGAGGAGAGGAGGCCCAATCTTGACTTGCCCTGTAATCAGACTGATGATTGTCTTAAATATCACCATAGAACTTTCATCTAGCACCTGGTAGAAACAGAGGCAGAGTCCCATATCAGAGCACTGGACTGAGCTCCCAAAGTCCAGTCAAGAGTGGGAGGAATGAGAATATGAACAAAGAGATCAAGACCATAATGGGTTCATCCACTGAAACAGCTTACCTGAGCTAATGGGAGCTCACCAACTCCAGCTGGACAGGGAAGGAGCAAGCATAGGATCAAACTAGTCCCTCAGAATGTGGCTGACAATTCATGGCTGGGGAAGACTGAGGGGCCACTGGCATTGGCACCAGAATTTATCCCTACTGCATGTACTGGCTTTTTGGGATCCTAATCTCTTTGGATGGATACCTTACTCATCCAAGATATAGTAGGGAGGGCCTTGGACCTTCCACAAAGCAGTGTGCCTTACCCTCTCTGAGGATTGGATGGGGGTAGGGTGTGAGGGTGTGTGGAGGGAATGGAAGGGGGGAGTGGAAACTTGGATTGGTATTTTTTTAAAAAAAATCTAATAAATTTTTTTTAAAAAAAGTAGAAGAAGGAGGAGGGGGAGGAGAAGAAGGAGGAGGAGGAGTAGGAAGAAGAAGAAGAAGAAGAAGAAGAAGAAGAAGAAGAAGAAGAAGAAGAAGAAGAAGAAGAAGAAGAAGAAGAAGAAGACACCATTTAGATTGGATTAGGGTCTACCCTAAAAACCTCATTGCAACTTAACTACTTCCTTCAGAATGTCCTTATCTCCAAATACAGTCACATAACATATTGGGTTACAAACAACCAAAACCAACTCTAATTTCCATACAGAAAGAATGTATTGGGAATGTTGGCCACAGCGTCTAGAATTAGCAGGGGTTAGTTGGAAGTTAAGAACAACTGCAGACCTTAACCCTTAGCACTAGGAGGCAAAGACAAGCAGAGGCTGGTCTATCTCTGTGAGTTCCAGGTCAGCCTGGTCTACAGAGAAACGTGCAGGACAGCCTACACAGAGAAACTCTTTCTCAAAAAACAAAAACAAACAAACAACAACAAAAAGAACAGGCTTAACCTTCTCCTCAGAGTGCTGCAGTCTTTGGGTTGGCATTGCAGGGCTGTGGTGATGTGCGCCTTTAAACCCAACACTCAGGAGGCAGAGGCAGGTGGATCTCTGAGTTTGAGGGCAACCTTGTCTACAGAGTGAGTTTCAGGACAGCCAGGGCCACACAAACCCTACCTCAAACAAACAAACAAACCAACCAAGAGCAGCAAGGATAGTGAACCACAACTCTTCAACCACAATAGCTAGTCTAGTTGTCCTCAATTCCCTATTCATATTGAAATGATTGCCAATAAAAAATCCTCAGAAGTTAATAAGGATACTAAACGAATCACTAAAAAGGAAGAAATTAAGATTACTGCATTCTACCCTTATAGGAAGTCTTAGCTCATTTCTGAAGAAATACATAATACAGAAAGTAAACTGTTGCAGGGTCCCACAATAGCCCGTGTTGGCCTGGGTGGCGCTCCTGCGGGAGTGGAGCATATAAAGGGTCAAGGGAAGTCAGGTCATTGGGGCGAGCCCTTAAAAGAAATACTGGAAACCCCGCCCCTAAGTCTCTCCCTGTTTCCGCTGCCACCAGGTGCCATCCATCTCCCCGCGGTGGCATTAGGATTGTGCCACCACCTGCCCAAAGTAGCATTTTCTCCTTATGAAAAAATATTGAAAGATGAATAACTCTTTTTAAAACAATAAGTATGCAAAAGAACAGTCGTTAACTGTGTATTTTTTAAAGTATGTGTTTTGGTTGGGCAAATACTAATAGACTCATTTACATATCAACGACAAGTCATAATTTTGATTTAGACTACAACAAAAACAGGCCCTGAAGCAAGACTGTCCGGGCTGAAATCCGACATTACCGTAAATGTAGGCAGCTTCCTTTCTGGGTTTCACCTATTTAAAAAAAAAAAAAAAAAAGTGCTAGCAGTTAACCCTTTACAGTGCTAGTTGTAATGGGTGAAACCGTGCGCCAAGTCGTTATGGAATTTACCCAGCACTTAAACCAAGCTCAAACTGGGTTTAGTCCATATTGATAAGACTTTAGCACAGCAAAATGGTGGCTTTCGGGAATCGTGAAGGCCTTCCCCTAGAAGCTAAAATTACTACAGGACTTCAAAGGAGAGGGAAGGCTCCATCGTGTAGGAGCCCACGTCTGGCGACGTGCAAAGTAGACTCTTCCTTCATATTATTTGATACTGAAGGTGCCGCACTCCAGCCGTGCCCCTGCAGTTCAGAATGGCTGCAGCCGCTTCCTGATCGCCCAGGCCAGGACCACAGATCTATCTAAGACTATCAGGGTCCACGAACGCACGGCGACTCCATCCCCCACCGACGGCGGTGTCCTGCCACCAGCCCCTGCCCATTCCCACGTCCCCTCCACGCCCCGTCCAGGCCCAGTACGGCCGGAGCGCACGCGCAGCCGCACTTCCGGGGGGCGCCTCGGCTCCCGCCCCACAATGCCGCGCGGCGCCGTCCTGTCGCAAAGGCCGCATCCGGGCGGCG